TATGTGAATGGCTATGTGATCGGCGTCCGGAGCAGATGTGATTGAAAAGGGATGCATAAACATGATAGATACGAATTAGTAGCATATATATAAATGAAAAATTAATAGTTTTGGAAATCATTAATTGTAAAACTACCATTCAAATGGAGATACAATTGGGCATTAGACAAACATGTATTGTCTACTGTTGTAATGAAACTATGGAGGTTTGGGCATTTGCAATGTGAGAAAGTTTCTTGGATAAATTGCAGCCTTTAGAAGACGTACACTGTAAGAGCCATGGTCTGAAAAATCTTAGGGTTCTTTCCCCTGTGTAAAGCAATACCGGAAATGCAAGATACATCACGTATGTAAACCATGTAACATCACTGTTATGATATGAAATTATTGAATTTAGAAGAAGTGAAAGAGAAAATTTAGGTAGTATACAGTTTTTTTACCATTTCCCGGCTAAATAAAGAAGCCATCCATGGACTAAGATCAAAATGTAGACACAACAAACATGTGATGTTCTTTTAAAGTTGACAATTTCAAAAACCCGAAATAGAATAAAATTAGGGCTACAATACAAGTAAGGATAATGAAATTGAACCTTGTTGAAGTTCATATTATCTTCAAAAGGTATGAACTAGAGGGCTGATGAAAAAATCGTGTGCCCGTGGCTTACAAGTGTTAGCTTGAGTGATTTGTACGGACTCGAGGGATTCTTCCATCAAATGTCCTACTTTTGATCAGAGGGAGGGTGAACCTAGCTAGGTCAGAATGATGAGGAATGGTCAACACACTTTTTTTTAGGTGTTCTGGCTTACCAGTGCACTAAGAGGGAAGGAGAATGAGGGAGACCAGAAAAAGGGAGGGAGAGATTGAGCTTGGTTTTGTCAGTGGCTCTCCATAAACATGGTTGCGATGGATTAATTTTGATCAACAATTCCTAGCCAAAAAAAAAATGACAAGACTACAAAATTTATCCCTGTGGTTTGCAAAAAACTTTGGATGGGGTCTAAAAACTTTCCAACTTGCATAGAAAGTCCAAAATCAAAACTTTTCTTTGGTTTTGGTCCTAAAAGGATGAAAGGACTATTATGTCCTTATTATTCCTTTTTCAAATTTTTTTATTTACTTATATATTTTAATAATTAAAAAAAGAAAAAGCAAAAAGAAAAGACCCTACCCCAGACCCATCGACGGTACCTTCCTCATCCTTTCTCTATCTATCTCTCTCTGTCTCTCTCTCTCTTTCTCTCTCTCTCTCTCTCACACACACACACACACACACCCCCTAGACCTCATCTTCTTCATCTTCCTTCTTCACAACCGACTACATGTCCTCCATCCTCTCTCAACCATCTTCATAATTGACATGCATCCACCTCCCTCTCCATCCGTCGCCTACATCATTTTAATTCCCCCTTGTGACCTAAAGTTAAAATATGTGAATTTGGAGAGATCAGCCATGACTAACCATCAAGATGAAAATCGGATTAGCCATAGCCGACCGTCTCCATCAAAATTTGTCCAGACTCTTCCTCCTCTCCCTCCATCTACCACTTATGTCATTCGGTAACTAGCAAAACCAGAAAAGATATTACAGATCGTTAATTATAAGTTTAAAAACCAAACCTAAATCTCAAAATCTGTTCACTAAAAGATGTGGACTCATGTCCTTTGGAGAAAAGAGACCGGTCATCGTAGAAGACAGAGCGATGGATACGGGAAGAGGGGAAATGGTTGTTAGAGGTAATTGGGATGCACTATGATCGAGATCCTCACCGGAAAGCAAGCGTGGAAAGGCAAGGTGAGTAGAAACCCTCTGTCAAATCGGGTATTATGAGGAATCCATGGAAAGGAAGAGGGGAATGAGGGGTTTTTTCGATGGGAAGGATGGAGGTATTAAAAGACAGGGGTAGTAGACACCCTTTGTCAGATCAAGTATTATGAGGAATCCATGGAAAGGAAGAGGGGAATGAAGGGTTTTTCCGATGGGAATGAGGGAGGTATGTAGTGCCGATGAGGGTGGGGTGAGCCGCCGGAAAAGATGAAGTTCAGGTAGGTGGTTTCATTTGGGATGAGAGAGAGAGAGAGAGAGATAGAGAGAGAGAGAGAGAAAGGGCATGTGATTCTATTTTTTCTTTTTTATAATAATCAAAGGGGGTGGGATTTTATTATTTATTTTGTTATTATTATTTAAGTACTTAAACAAATAAAAAAAAGATAAAACTGCATTAATATTTATAAAATAAAAATATAAAAAATACAAAAAATAAATTTAAAGGGCAAAACAGTCAATTCAAGTGCTACATGGACCAAAAATACAATTTTTCTTAAGTTTAGGACCAAAAATCCAAAAAAACCTTGATTTTGGACCTTCTGTGCAAGCTGAAAACTTTTTGGTAACTTTATATGTGTTTTTGATTTTTAAATACGTTTTTTGATATTAAATTGATTCATATTTTATTAAATTATAAAATTGGATATAAATGAAAGTTTAATAGGTTAAGAAGGACATATAAGTAATTATAAATTTTGGAAGGCTATACACGTAATTCTTAATGTTTGCAAGAAAATATATGAAATTTACTCTTTTTAGAAACTCTATTTTTTTCACAAAGCTTTTTCAAGTTCATCTATGGCGGATATTACTTCTCAAGTGAAGAAATACTTTCTTGCCCCAAAATAATCATCGATAGCGACTTCATTCAAGCAATGATAGACCAGTGGTTTGAATTTTAACCTACTAAAAATTTAAGACAGGTAAAATTATAAAACGTGTTACCTGGACAAGTATAAAGAGAGGTCGTTTACGGATGAAAGTGTTCCTCGCAGGCAATCACAACCGTTGCCGGAAGATTGGAGCTATGCGCCGGATTTCGTGAGAGAGACGATAGATAATTCAATCTTTTAAGAGAACTTCTTTGATCTCCACTTTTTAAACCAAAGTAAACAAATAGTGACATTATTTTTTTTACCTTATTTAATACCCCAAAATACATATTTCTTTTATACATATATGAGTGGTGTACTCGCATAAAACAACGGCGAGTTATTTTGGACGATTATTAATTTTTTTCAATGATTAGAAGATGTAGTGATGAATAGTATAGTTAAATGAATAGTTTTTAGGAGCCAATTAATTTTATTTGGGCATGTTGTTTTGGATTAAAAGTGAATTATTTTTGTAACATCCCAAATTCAAGGTCAAAAATTTCATTTTTAATTAGCTTATTACATGAAACCAAAGTGTGAATAATCAAAGTATAATATTATGAAACCATATCAGAGAATAATCCCAAGGATCTCGTGTGCGGAAAACATAGTGTGATGAGTTGCGACCAAGCCGACTCCTTTCCTTTGAAACAAAGTACCTGAAACCAAAACTGTAAACCGTAAGCACGAAGCTTAGTGAGTTCCCCATCATACCATATACCACATAACACCATCGGTATCTCTCAACCGGTAATTGTCATCGGTATCTTTCAACCGGTAACCTGGGACTATTTCACCCCTACCACTATCATATAATATCATGATATAATCATACAGTCAGGCATTTCTGGGGTACTGACCTACCTTTCGATCCTAACGACCGAGTCAGGGAAAAACTATTCCTTGTTACTACCACTAACACACATATCATATCACATAAGCATATCACATAAACATATCTCATAAGCATATCACATAAGCATATCCTCATGAGCATATCACATAACATACTAAGATAATTATCATAAAGACAATTATCTACCAACTACCCCTATTGGTGCCCCCGACATTGTAGCCTTAGACCCACCCCTACTGGAAGGTAACTCACCTCGCATTGCTGAAGTCCCGAAGACTCAACCCCATACTACTGAAGTCCCGCAGACTCAACACCAGCTGTTGGGACAGATTCCCGATCTGTCAATATCAAAACATTACCCAATTAATAATTGGGTTCCATTACATAACCATAAATACATGCTTTGGGTAATTACTACATTACCCCTAGCTTGGCTTATTCCAGTCCAAGGCCCAATTCATAGGCCCAAAGTCGACTAGGACTCAGCCCAACATATGGCACAATTTTCCAAATTGGGCCCAAGCCTATACATAACCTTATTCTAAGGCCCAACATCATATGTAATCATTAAGGCCCATCTATGGCCCAATTTTCCAAATTGGGCCTAAATCCTCAAAGCCCATTAATTATTCTAGTCCAATTGCTTGACTTTGGATGGCCCAATAATAATCCAATCAGCAAAGCCCAATAGAAAGGCCCAACAATAAACCCAAGTGAAATTGGGGTTTCACATAAAATGATGATTAGGGTTAAGTGTTTCTCACTTAACCCATTAGGGACGTAATCCACTAAGGACTTAATCTATTAAGTCCAATATTGCTTATATTAATTTTTTTGCCATTGATTATGATTTAATATTCCAAATTATTAAATAATTCTCGAATGTTCCGATTAATTCCCCAAATTAGGGTTTCATGGCATTAGGGTTTTCCAAACCCTAATTAGGGTTTTCCAAACCCTAATTAGGGTTTTCCAAACCCTAATTAGGTTTTCCAACCCAAAGACTAGCCCATTTATTAACTTGTTGGGCTTTTAGGTCATTTAGGGCTTTATTGGGCCTATCAAGCCCATAAGAATGTCATCAAGCCCATTAGGGTTTTATTACGGTCCATTAGAGTCCATTAAGTTTTATTGGGCCCATTTGAGCTTCCTTGGGCCCACTAGGGTTTCAAGCACCACAAACGAACCAACACAATGAGGCAAACACACCGCCACCCAACACGGCGGCCGGTGGCGGTAGGAGGCGGCAGCCACCACCCTAAGGTGGTGGTTTTCGATTTTTCTTTTATTAATCCAATTTGTTACAGTTACAATGAATATCCCAAGAAAATAACTGCACACACACACTAAACTACACCCACCCATGGTGGCAGCCACCACCTCACGGTGGTGGTGGGGCTTTTCATGGCTTTTTCCAGTGTAGCATCGCCCCTACAACATCATGCCACTACACACACGTAATTACACCATATTGCACACACACCTGCAAGAAGTAAACATAAACAGCCACCCCACGGCGCGGCAGGCGGTGATTGGGGATGTCAGAAACGAAAATGGTAGTAACCCTTTAGTCTCTTGTTCCCCCGTCAAGCAGCAACTACACACACGCGAACATTCAATCCCACGTCTGGGAACGAGTCAACTTCGACAGAAACAACAACATCACTGTCATCAGGAGGTGATGGCGACGGCATGTCTTGGTTGCATCATCTTGGAGTGGCGCATCGGCAACAAGGAATGGAGTAAATGGTAGCGGTCCATCTCCGAACCACCACAGTTTCCTGAAGTCGCTAGTGATGGAACAGTAGTAGCGGTGACGTCATTGGCGCATCATAATGGTGGCGGTGGCCCGGTTGCGAGATGACGGTGGTGGGCGATACCCCTCATGGCAGCGAACAAAAGGGGAAATAAGGAGTGTAGTGGAGGTCCGGTGGGTTCTTTTCTTCCCTGACGCAACGATCGTGGCTAACTAGCTGGAAAAAAAAACTAGTTGTTAAATAAAAATGTATCTGATAGTTGAAAAACTAGTTGATAAAAAGCTAGCTGATAGCTGAAAAACTAGCCGATAAAAAAATGACGTTTGATTACACTAACTAAAAAAAATATGAAATGACATAAATTGATATTTAAAAGAATGTGTTTTTAAAATTAATTAAGAGGTATATTTGTAAATTAAAAAAAAAAGCTTCCAAAAAGTTATTCTAAGAAGTTAAATTTAAAAAAAAAAAAAAAAAAAAAAAAAAAACTAACTTATAATCTAATTTTTGGATTATCAAACTTGACAACTTAAAAAAAATTTGAAAAATAAGTTAGTTGTGCGACGCCAAACACACCCTAGATAGTATGACTCCAAACTTTTTGAAAAAATAGATTGTAAAGATAAAACTATAGAATCGAATATACACATCACTCACTGACTTTTTTTTTTATATATTTTGATCATAGAATGAAACATGTTTACATAATCTACATAAAAAATCTTGCAAAAAATTGTAATAATAACTATCATTGTATAAAAAAAATTGTTTGATTTGGGTCGATTCCAAAGATATATTAAAGTAAGAGTTTCTTGCCTTTTTTTTAAAATTATATTATACTATATATTAAAATTTTCTTTGCTTAGCTACAGTAAACCTCTCTATTTTGCCAATTTCGGCCCTTCTACTATCTCTATTTATGTATATGTGTTCAGATCTATCTCCAGGTCATTTTATGTCAATATTTATGTTGTCTGTGTATACGTGTTGCTTCTCACCGCTTTTTTCTCCAGTTGAATTCGGATCTGTGTAATCCCTCTTTCCCTTCTTCCAAACCGCTTCCACTTCGATATCTTCCCGATTGTTCTAATTTAATTTTTAACCTGATTTCTTCTACTTCATCTACCGTCCTTTCTCACTCTTCTCTCAACCGCTCAGAAATCACATAAGGTTCCTATCGATCTCCTCACATCGGTTATCATCTTTACCCTCCTTCTCTACATGCTCCGTTGATGAGTTCGTCGGCGTCTACACGCCTTCTCTCAGGAGGAGGCGATGGAAACTGGTGTATACGCGGATATCTCTACTTCTCTTTGTTGATGATTCTCACGAAATCAGTTCCCTCTTCACGTTCGATGTTCTTCCTTCTAACTTCAAATTGTCGATGCTTCATGAATGAGATTCTTCTGCTACTATCGATGGTGTCCAAGACAGGCCTAAGAGGTTGGCAAAAAAAAACCCTATTTATGGGTTTGGGTCTTTTTTGGTTCTTCCTTCACCGATTTCCGTCTGTTCCCGCCGTTCATTACTGATTTGGGTATGTGTTTGCAACTTACGACTTCACTCTCTCCGATTTGTGCTTGATTTTGGACCAGACGACTACAAATGTGTGATTTTTAATTTAGGTTTGCAGAATCTGTCACACCAGATCATTTGTTTGCTTTTCTTTTTTCTGTCATCAGGCGTGATGAAGCCTACAACAACTGATGTCGGCTGCTTTTTGGGTTTACTTTCATATCTGTTGTTTCTGCAATTGGAGAATGCGAGCACGAAAAAGAACACCGAGTGGTTGGTAGTTAAGTTACGACCGAGGAGGATTTCATCATCACCACTGACCACCTGATGCACTGCATTGTCGTTGATGTTGTAATGAGATTTGAAGGAGAATTTGACTATGCACCCCAACTGGTCGATGAAATGCTTGAAATAGGGTATGTTGATTTTCAACCAAATGATCTGGTGTGACAAGTAAGGGCAGATGCATACATTTACCAGTCGAATTAAGGATTGTTGTTTCATCTTTAAAATCCTTATAAAACACCCTAAAATTGGCAGATTGAGGCTGAAACAAATGCTATAAAAGGAGTTGCAGAGAAGCTATGTCCAATGAGAACTGTCTTGGATAGGTTGTGACTTGAACAGGTGTGCTTTTGGGATGCTGGCAGGTGCTTCTTCCTCTAATTTTCCCTTTTTCTTTTTGAAACCCTCCCTCTGAATTAAGAAATGCTCTTCCAGATGCTCAAGTAAAGCAACTTGTAAGAACCTTACCAAATTACTTACTTTACCCTTCAAATCTAAGGGGAAATTTAATTTTTATCGAGTTGTATGATGTAGTATGCTCCTGCCCTGCTTCATACATCACTTCCAAGAATTATGGTGGTTAGTTTTTTATTTGTGATGGATGAGATGACCCTTATTTATTGTTATAAGCTTCCGTGTTTTCTGCAATTTAGGATTTATATCGATATTGATTTGGGGGATGGCTTTCATCGACCGACCGTCATTTCTAGGTAAAATCAATGGTCTTATCGTAACCTACACAATCTAAACTGAAATTGAGGGGTTGCTTGGGACGTTAATGGTTAATTATCGATTGATCCGCTCTCTATAATCTCGACTTTTGCCATTATCGATCGATTTCTATATTCTACTTTTGTTCTTCTGCCATTATTTACTGCAACTTTTTATTTGTTGTCCTGCACAATCGAAAAATGAAACCACTAAACCCTATGAAACTTTTTAATACAAGGTTTCGTTTTTTTGTTATTAATAATTGATATTTTCTTCTTGGTGATTTTTGTGTGCTTTTAGATGTATACGTTGACCTGTATTATGGAAGGAATCATGAAGAGAATGAATTATGCACAGAAGGTGTTCTATGAATAATACATGTCAGAGAAGGAAAATGGAGACTGAAAGTAAAGCATGGAAGGAATTCAATTTGATTCCAATTCCATGTTTGGTTGCAAATGTAACAACTTATTTGGCCTTTAATGTGCTTGTATTTAAATATTAGGAATCTTCAATCGGTTTCTCATTATGTATTGATTTGATTAAGTTGTTGTGTTGGAATTTAAGGTGTATGTAATGGCACTGGCAGATAAAAGAGGATGGGGGAGGTAGCCTCCAGGCCCTCCACTTTATTGGGTGCCTACATACAACTCAACACTTCTAATGATGGTTCTTATTTCATATGTCATTTCTGGAATATTACGCTAAGTTCTCCATCACTTCTGACTCTAATTGTTCCATGTTCACAAAATTCTGAATTGTGCATCTGTATATAACCTCTCATTCTAAAATTTGTGTTCATCTTTTGGTCCTATATTCAGTTTTGGCTTCATTTAGTTTCTGTCATTGGTTGTCTAAAAATTAGGTTGGATCACAATCTCAGATCGGGTTCACCCTCAACGTTCATTCATATTCAGTTTTTCCATTTTTTGTTGTTTCCAAATTCAAACTCATATGAATTTAATATCATAGCTGTCCATTTATTTTTTAGGTAAAAAAGAACAAGAATTGGATGTTAATTTCATAAGCGAAAGGTATTCCATTTGTGAAGTTTTCTTACATTATCTGTTTTTTTTTTTTTTTTTTTTTTCAAAAAATATTTTCGTCTATTTGAGTAACCTACACAAAATTGTGGTTATCACTTATTTGCATCTGAGATACAAAACTTTTTATTTATCAATGTGGATGTGGAAGTGCAATTTTTCAAGTTTTGCAGGAAGCTCCAGGAGTTTGTAACATTTGAGTTTCTTGCCGCAAGCAGTACAAGGTAGAAGATATGCTACTTCAAAAGCTTCGTAAACATGCCTTCAGGTCTCTAAGAGTCAATTTAGATATGAACTTAATACTATGTGTTATCTAGAAATCCAAAAGCATATAACTTCACCACCACTTCTTTACTTTTCTTTCTTTTGCATCTTTTTTATATAACAATGCATTTCCTTTCTAGAGGACAATTTGTGAGTTATTTTGCTGGGGCAAATATATTAATGGAGGCCTGTACTACTTTTGGGCAGGAAGATGCAAACGCATGGCGGGTTCAAGTATATGGGTTAATGAAAGGTTACAACCTGTTGGATGTTCCAGTTGTTGCTCTCATTATTCTTCTTACTCTTTCCCTCTGTAGGAGGTTCGATTAATTGTGGTAATTTCATTTCTTTATTCCCATTTTACTTCTTTGCCCCACAACAATTCTTGAAATAAATATTTTTTATTTTTTATTTTTGTAAGGTTGATTTTTATTAAAACTTTACTATGGTTCTCATTTTCATATATATTTTTGATAAACTGCAAACTTAATTGTGACTTGTGAAAATGATACAAAATATTATTGATAATTAATGTCGCTTAAAAAACAAATTATTATTATTTTCCTTTTGGTTTAACTAATAGTCAATAACTTTCTGTTATTTTTTCGAATATTTATGCACAAAAGAAGGCTCCATGCTAAAAATTGTAATGATAATATTTCATGTGTTTTCTTTGGGTTCATTATAATCATGGGCATATGCTACAGGAACCACAAAAACATAATCCAACCAAAAATCTTATATTTTTATGGTGTCAAAGGCAATACCGGTGGAGCAGCCATCGTTTATTTTAGCTACATTAGCTATGATTATGTCTCAACGATGGTTGAAAAGATCCAAAACCCATCCAATAGCCTTCTATTTGGCGTAATTGATGCACTTATAAATGTTTATGTTATAATGTCTTTTGGATTTGTCTTTATGCCTGATGGATCCCTATAACAATATAACTAATTACTAATTTTGTTGTTTTCTCCAATATATATATATATATATATATATATATATATATATATATATATATATATATATATATATATATATATATATATATATATAAACTGACGAACAAAACAAAACAACCATTTTGGTGACATGTAATAATTACAAGTTTTCTATTGTTGGAATTTTACAAGGGGGATAAATAGGAAATTTTACAAGGGGATAAATAGGACCAACATTTTACACGTAAATAAGAAAACAATCAGAAGGGTAGGGTGTTATTTGTGGAGGTATATTTCTTAATTTTTTTTAAAATTTAATTTAATGTCTAATATAGCAACATGCTTTCATGCTAAACTATAGAATGAAAGTGCATTTCTGTTGAAGGTGTTAATATTGATTATACACTTGCAAATGTGATGTTGCAGATCAAGTCTGAAACTAAATGTACATAGTTAGAGAAATGATAATGCTTTGTAAATTGGATAATATTTCTTTATGTAGGTTTATTTTTCACATAAATTGCTTTCATATAAAAAAAAAAGAAATAAACTAGATATCATATCTAAAATACTGAAGGCTTCCAACCCCCGCAACGCGGGGACCTTCTCTAGTATATATTAAAATTCTCTCATGTTAGCTACAATGAACTTGTTGTTTTTTTTGTAAAAAATAGTCCCTTAACTATAGGTTTTGTTGCATTTTCGGATTGGTTTTTCTACAGGTGAATTTTTTGGAATTATATGGATTCTTTTGCACACGTGTTCATCGTTTCATTTCTTTTGCTGTATTTGATGTTTAAGACGGTGGTCAAACCTTTTACTTCCCGATCCTTCCACCATCTTCCTTTTATCTCTACTCCAAATTCCACCGTCTCTGACAACCCTCTTCGTCAATTGTTTTTGGTTGGCATTTCATCACAATCAATTGCAAGATAAATCCATTGGCTTTTCTGTTTTCATCCGGATAGATCTTCATCCACCGCTTCATCTCTCTAGCTACTGGAAACTTCATTTTCATCTATTTTCTACTTCGCTACTAGAAACTTCCTTTTCATCTATTTTCTGTTTCGTTGGTCGCTATCGCTAGGAGGTTAGTTAATAAGGCACGCAAGGAGGTAAGCTAGTAGAACAAAGGGCTTTTCGGTTTTAGCCGCTTTCCCTTCTTCAATCGTTGATGTTTTACTGTCCTTTGGGTTAGTTCCATTTGTTTGTCTCTTTCTTAATGCTTCTGTCTATCTATCTTTCACCATATATTCTTCTTCACCCTCTCATATTCTCTTGATTGTTTCTTTTGGATACTCACGTTTTGTCCACCGCCTTTCCAAAACCCACTGTCTCTCTCTAAACGCATTGACATCCAAGAACCACCAGAGAGTGCGGTTTTGGATCGGTTTTTTATAACCATGAGCGACCAGCAGGAGGACCAACAGTCGCCATCTGTAACATCCCAAAAATAGAGTCTAAAAATTTCGTTTAAATAACATTACTTAAATCATGATTGTCAAACCATAACATAATTCTTAACGTAAATCCGGAGTATTAGTTCAAAACATATTCGTATTATCAGAGTAAAACATCCGAGGCTGACTAGCTATGGTGTGCACTGCAATCTTCCCGTGCTCCTCTTTTGAAAACTGAGTACCTGAAACCAAAACTGAAAACTGTAAGCACGAAGCTTAGTGAGCTCCCCCAATCTACCATATACCATACAATAACATATAAAGCAGATACTGGGGCCTTGCCCCCTGCATCGGATCGAAGTTCGGAAACTGCATCAGGCCGAAGCCCGGACTAACTGGGGCCTTGCCCCCTGCATCGGACCGAAGTCCGGAAACTGCATCGGGCCGAAGCCCGAAATAACTGGGACCATGTCCCCTGCATCGGGCCAAAGCCAGGACTAACTGGGACCATGTCCCCTGCATCAGACCGAAGTCTGGAAACTGCATTGGGCTGAAGCCCAGGGACCGAAGTCCAGATACTACATCGGGCCGAAGCCCAGACTAACTGGGACCATGTCCCCTGCATCGGACCGAAGTCCAGAAACTGACTGAACATAGCATAACATAAGCACGTATCAAGTAGCATAAACACATATACTTCATACTGCATCGGACTGAACCCCGGAACATATAACGCATAAACATGCTTGAGTCACAGAGACACCAAGCATACTAAACTACTGCATCAGACCGAAGTCCGGAACTACTGCTAACTAAACGGGTCGGCATTGTGGTTGTATACCCGTTCCTACTGGCAGGAAACTCACTTGAACTGCTGAGCTCTACTGATAACCCTTTGGCTGCTAATCGACAACCCTCTGAGCCGCTGCTTCTCTAGCTCTCCGAGCTACCAATATCAATATGACACTTAGTCTGATAGTCCTCTAAAAGTCAACTAAGTCAACTTTGGTCAAAGTCAAAGTCCTGGTCACAGTTAACCTTCCAGGTTGAGCCTATTCGCCGAGTCAGCCTACTGACTCGCCGAGTTCATAAGCTCAGAAACCCCTTTCATTCACGACCCGACTCGTCGATTCAGACCATGACTCGCCGAGTCTTTGATTTCCGAGTTCTGTCCTGTCCAACTCACTGAGTCTTCACTCAAGTCACTGATCCGAGTCTTAACTAGAAGGGTTTGGGTTTTGCGACTTTACTCGCCGAGTCCAAGAACAGGCTCGCCGAGTCCAAGGCAATCTTCAACAGACTCGCCGAGTTGTTCTTCCAACTCGTCGAGTTCCTGCCTATCTTCATCCAACTCGTCGAGTCCACCCATGTGACTCGCCGAGTTACTACGCGACTCAAGTCTGATATTTATCCCGATTCGCCGAGTCATCTCCCAGACTCGCCGAGTCCATACGTGCATTTCCATAATTTCGAGTCACAGAGCTTCTCCTTTGCTCCAAACAATAGATCTGGGTTCCTAAAGTCCATTAGCAACATAAAGTTGCCACCTTTACGTGCTTCTTGTCTTATAATACCAAAAACCAAGCTAGAAAGGAACTTAACTCATGGGGAATGGCTTTTGCATAGCAACTAATAGGGCTTTCTGCATCTTTGGTCCAAATAGACCTCAGATCTGGAGTTTCAACTCCAGATCTAACTTGTGCACCAATTTCTCATCACC